TAGTGTAATATGCGAAATACAGATACACAATTGTATGTTATTGCTATCGTTGTTGTCGTCTAAAACGAAACCTGTGTACCTCCGTCATCTGTGTGTAAAATATACAATACTCGCATTGAGGATAATATTACTATCGTAAGTGCGCCGTGTTAAAATCCGTATACATACCGATATAATTTAAACATAAAACTACGTATTGTTCTTGTAAACAATATTTTTATTTCGTAATCGGTATTCGTACCTATTCAAATAGGCACCTATATACTTTTAGAATATATTTGTTTTCTGTTAAATGTACCTACAGACTATAATACTGTCTACAAACAAACGCGATAATTTTAGGTAACGTTTCAAAATTAATCATAGGGACGAACTTGTCCGCCGGGACGCGTATTATAGAAAACCCAGGACGCCATAAAGCGGCTTTTATGCGTTGCGTTGTCATTGGGTCCATTTCAAATTTCGCTCGGTTTTCATTTCACTCGGATATTTGCTCGGGCCTTCATCATGCCGTTGGGTCTCTATGTGCGCCAAAAATGTATTTGTTTTTTCCCCCGTCCTCTATTATCCGACATGGTTATTTGCACAACAAATCGCGGTTTTAACAGTCCGAGCGAGCGCAACCAGTTACACACTAAAAAAACCATCAACCCGGTAGGATTACGAAAACCATGTAAAATCAAAAATGGACCTATGACCTATGTGTGGTCAGTGATCGTTGAGAATTAAATAAAAAACAAAATCGAATAGAATTTTGGAACACATTTATTTAATATTTTTGTATCATAATAATCAATAATCAGTTAATAACCAATAGACAATTGTGTTCATAAATAAATATTACGATGGATACGCGGACGGTAAATTATGTTTGTCAAGTTGACAGCGGTACATTATGTTAGGGCTATACAATCAGTATCAATATTTTGTTGGAATTTGTTAAGGCATTTTTGAATTTCGCTAAGGTTCCAAAAATCCAGGAATCTACAAACAAACATGTGGTTGCTATCTTTGTTTCCCAGTCCCTGTCACAGAGCAATGTGTGCCGTAGCCGGCGCTGGCACAAAAATTTAAAACCTCCCCTACAGGCAAAAGGGGGTCCTAGAAAAATCTACCAAATTTGTCTGAATAAATTGAAATGTCGGTTGTCGATCTTATCAGCTTATATTTATGTAGTTCTATTTAATTGGAATTTCGATAAAAGTTAATTCTCCGAGTAATCCACCGGTCCCTTATAAGTTATACTTATAACGAAGCATAATGTAATTGTTATAAAAGTTTTGAAATGTTCGTTTTTATTAGTTACTATTAAACACGAATCATATCTGATGGGATGTTTAAAAATAGAATTTTCTCGAAAATCTTTACCGGAGACTGGAAATCAACGGATTTCGAACTCGAAAAGCGAACGTTTTTCGTGTGATTCGTATTTTATTATTTCGGTTCTTGTCGATAATGACACATAATCGTATCATAAAAAAGTGTCCCGCGGTCATCGACCCTGATGCAGGGCCCTACAGTGGGCCTATCTCGTATCAGTATTTCCAACAGCCGTCTATGTCAGTTTAGACGAAAAGAGGACATCATATTATATTATCTATATATGCATATAAAAATAAATGTTTGTCTGCATGTCTCTTATGCCTTCCTAAACCGTTCATCCAATAGCCATGAAACTTTTGAAAGTTGTTGAATATTGCATTCCCGTGAAAGTTTCTGGCATAGTACTTACATCTATGCAATTCTCCGACTCACTCCACTATCACCCACAAAAATCGGGTTTTAGGTACTTTTAGTACGAAAATAAAATAATTTTTTTTATTTATGGTTTATCTTGGATGCAAAAACAAATATTATTAGTTAACTAGGTGGTCATGGGAAAATTATTATTATGTCTGTGGTATGTATTCTATGAGTGTGTATACAGGTAACTACGTAATTTTTTTATCATGATTGTAGAGAAAATGTTTAATTTCAAAGGCCGGCGAAGAAATCGATATTTTCTACACTTCAGTTCATGGGTGATATAAGACATACGTAAAACATACGGTATTATAAGACACAGGTACATGAGACTTATATGAAGCACGAAAGACAAAGGCATTACGAGCAACGGAAAGCAAGATTAAAAATTGAATATAATAGAGAAAAAAAAACATTTAAAAATTGGCATTTGGCATATAGCGTAAGTATATTATATATATATATATATATGTAAGCTGCCCGGCGTTAGACACTAACGCAAAACGTAATAATGTAATTATAGAATACCTATCACTAAACGAAAAATAACGCAAAACAATATATGTACGTCTTATATATGCTATCACCTGTTAACCTGTATAGTGTATACTTGTTAGTCGGACTTGGTGCATTTATTAAAATATAAATAAAGGGCACATTATTTTATATTATAAAGAAACTTGAGAGAATTATTGAATTTGCGATAAGGTTAATCATCATATTATTAATGACGGTTAGGGTGTTCGGTTATCATAGGCGCAAGACACAACTAAAGAGGTGTTAGGGGGCCTCTAGCACCACCAAGTTTAAAAATTAATACCTCCAATCACCTTTCTCATAGTAACGAACAATTATTTTATCCACCTATTTCATAATTAATGAACACCAGAACAAAATACAGATATCCTATGCAGACAATTATGCGTGTATATATGAAAAATAATGTTAAACTAATTATGATAAATTTGTATATCTACAAAATTTTAAATGAAATGTGTATAGATACCTATTGTAAAAGTCGTGTAAAAGGGAGTTAGGGGCCATATCCCCCATAGGTATTTGATTCCCAATTGATATCATAATTTGAGCACCCCCAAAGTCGGTGGTCTAATTGCGTCTATGTTGGTTACATACCTAAGTACTCAAAATTACCTGTAAATACCCTAACCGTAGGTATTTCTTTTAGAATCAAAAAAACTCTACCCACGTCGAACGTATTTAAATAAGATTATAAGGTTTGAGAATGTGTCTTACCTACCTATTTCAGTTTTGGACTTGATTTAATTTAATAATAATCGATAATTAACAACACAATGTAGAGATATTACTGAAAGTTCCATTACGTGCTCATATGCATATCAAATAGGTATTTATATTTAGGGTTTAACACGTATAAATGCCCGTTATTACTATTCTCAACAATTTAATTGCACAGGTAGGTTTCAAATTACCTATTATAGGTACCTATACAATATACAAAAATATATCAACCTATCTAATAAGTATTTCTATTATTTTATTATTAGGTTTGTCTACTTTTAATTGCTGAAAAAAATACGAGCATTATAACTCTGTACTGAACTGTAAAAATTTTTCACGTTTTAGAGTTTATATAACAGAGTTACCTACCTTATAGGCAGTGTTGTTAAAGTTCTTTTTTAAAAAGAATTCGTTCCCGTTCCTCGTTCCTACAGAAAAAAAAAAGGAACTTGTTCCCGTTCTTCGTTCCTACAGAAAAAAAGAAATCTGTTTCCGTGGGTAGGTGGGTGGGTGGGTATCGAAAAATATATTTGCCTCTGAAAATATTTGAGTTCGCCATGCCACTGATTCTTACTTCTTAGAATTGTCATGTTTTAAATTCTAATAAATTGAATTAAATTTATTTCCTTGTTAAAAACAAAATAATTACAATATTTTCGTTCCTATTCCTAAAAATAATAAATTAATTCCTTCATTTGTTCCTCTAAAAAGGAATCAATTCCAGGAATCGTTCCTTAACAACACTGCTTATGGGTATGCATAAACTTTAATATACAGTATACATGATTGTATATTATTTACAGTCTGTACATATAACTCAGCATATTATTGTAACTTTGTAACAGCATTCTTATTACGAATTGCATAGAGATGGAATAGTTTAGTCTCCTAAATATAGCAATGGCTCTTTTAATTAGGTATAGAATTGATAGTTTTTTTTTTTTATACATTTGCTTATATTATGTACCTAATAAAAAAATGTAAAAACCTATCAAGGATAAACATACCGATATCTGTTTGACATTATATAGTTTTTAATTCATTCAGGATATCCTGTATATAAGTATACACAGTGAGTATATAGCTAGCGGAATAATGAAGATAAATAAATCAGTTATTTTCAATGCCGACCTACATTAATTAAGCAAAATAAAAAAAAACCATGATAAACATAATATGATATGATTATTATTATTATTTTAATAAACCTAGACAATATTATATCATTTAGGCATGGCAACTATTGTATATGAATCCTTTATTTTTTGAAATATATTCAAATTAGAGGGTACTTAGGGTAAATTAGTGAGTATTTTTTTGAAATTCAATAAATTTAATATTATCTGTACTTATGTAGGTCCTGTTGTATTAATATAAGGTAGTATAACTAATATAGCTGATCGAACTTTAGACCGTAGACTCTGTTTTGAATGCGCTTCCTGTAATAAGTACAAGAAAAAATGTAATTTGTATTATTTACAACTGTAAGTATAAAGTAACGATAAATTCTTAGCGAAGATCAAAATTAAAAGGTTGAAAAAAATATTGACTTGCCATAATAATAAGCCGTAGTCCAAGATATGACGCGACAGTGACACATAGGTACCTACCGCAGATAACATTGACGTCGTTTCAACTCTAAAAGAAGCAAATAAGCAATTAAGATAAGAGTGTGCGATTAGAGAAAGATATTTGTCATGAATTCATGATACTCGTACAGATATTTGCACCTATAAATTATAATAATATAGTAACTCGCTAGGTATATCGTATATGTACTTATATATTGTATGTATATCTATATTATGTGTTTTTAATGTTTTTATGTACCTAGTGAACGTGTCTTGAATATTTTAAGCGACTCATTGTCAATGCGTGATTTTTGTGTGAATATTTTTTTTTATAAAAACGTCTTCTAAAAAATCTTTAGATTTAAAATGTACTTACACAAATCTTTTCAAGAGCAAAGGTTTTTTTTTTTTTAATAAATAAATTAGCGTAGCGTATGAATGATTGTCATGATAATTCCAATATTATCAACTTTATAAAAGGTATAGCTCATCATTTAATTACAATTTTAAAATTATTTTTAGGTATACCTGTATCTGTGGCTTGGTGCAAGAAGGGCTACTGTAAAAAATAATATATATATATATTTTTTTTTTAAATAAAAATGATTTCCAAAAATCTAACATAGACCATAATTAATGTACCTAATCTTTTTTTTTTCTGAACATTGGATCTTCCTGCGCCAAACCTCAAATATGAATATGAATATTGGGTAGGTACGTACATATCATTACATGGTAGAGATGACGTACGTGATCTACCAGTAATGTAGAAATCGGAAAAAAAAAACCGATAAATTAACATGTACAATAGGTAGGTACCTACATTTAAGACTGTCATATTTATAAGTAATTGTATAGTAAAGATTTAAAATTTTAAAGCAAATGGAGCTTCACCTTTACTTGGAAGGCAATTAAAAGAAAAGTGGTGCCGATCAATACAACCATCCTCAGATAGGTATTATATTCGACAAATTGTTAACCGACATGAATGTGACATGTTTGACTACCTAGCGTCATATGATGTTATTGTTTATTGTTATTAGTGTTGTATAAATTATACTAGCATAATTATAAAAATAAAAAAACAAAATTAATTTATAGTAAATAATACAGTAATTCAATATTATTTTTGGGTAAATCGCGTACGTACCTACTAATAAAAAACGAGTTTGGTAGATCGCGTACGACATCACTATCATAAGTAATTTGTTTTATCCAAATGAAAAATACCCCATAATATTTTTATTATAATAATCATCATTTTTTCGGAACTTGCGACGTACCTATGCTATCTACACCGAAAACGTATCTACCCACCGCAATTTACACCATCCCGTTCGGGTTTTTAATTTTTACTTTACGTCTGAAAACGACTTTTTTAACGCCAGGCACCCATTGTTATAGAAAAAAAACCTCCCGAACGGGATGCAGTGGATATAATGTTCTGTATCAGCAGACTACCTAGAATATATACATATATTATGTTTATCGGTGTTTTAAAGGCCAAATATGTCTGGTTTAAAGGATTAACCAGTTTATCCTGATATCGGGTTTGGCCAATAAAATAGGACTTTACCGTATACATGACAATACCTACGGCACAAGAAAGCACACTTGTCAAGTGTCAACGTCAGCAAACCTCCAACTTAGATTTATCGTCCGAGACGTAGATAATATACGACGAGAGTTCCTTTTTTATATAGGTACCTTAATATGACAATGCTAACATATTTATTAGATTATTTAAAATTATGATAACGTGTTTCTCTATATATTTATATCTTGTTCGTATGGTTATTTTATTAGGTTAAAATACCAGCAAACTGTAATAATTGATAAAATAGTAAAAAATTATATTTTACGCCGAAATTTCCTAGACATGGTTAAATTAAGTCCAAATTTTTAAATCCACGTAGGTATAAAACTGCATGAATTCCGCCATTTCCGGAGTTTAAGCTCATTTGTTTCAGCCGAATAAGTAGCCGAAAAATCGGGAAAATATATTTATCCTATAAGTAATAAGAAAATTCAATGGGTACTAATAAAATATTATCAGGTGAAGTGATTTAATTATTTTAAATGTTTTCGATTTCTGTTTTCTACCCGAAATCTTCATTAATCAAAGAAAAAAAGCCGAGATTTTTTTTGTTGCATTATGGATTTACTTGGTGAGTACAAATAAGTCATGTTATTGATTTTCCAACCAGTCTTTATAATAATTTTGAAAAACTAGAAAAAGACGATAAGGAACAGATTAACAAATTCATTATTTTAAACTTTCTTTAATTTGGTATTCTTCCAGAAATATTGCTTCAAATTTCAAGATTAGTACCTTTTCTGAAGAAAATAATAGTTTTTATCATTTTTAAATTGTTTTCTTTTATTGTAATTCAGTTAAAAATATTTTTAAACTAGACATTTGGACAGGAAAATTGCATTTGCTTTTTCTAAGAGTGGTTAAATTTTCAAAACATTTGAGCAATCTTTATTTTACGCTATTTTTTATTCGGTAGATATTATGGATAAAATTGTTGCAACTAAACAGAAATGCTTGAAAATTTAACAGGAGGTTCATTATAAGTCACACTTTGTAGTAAAATAAAATTTTTTCTTATTTTGATGAATACCGTAAATATTACGATCTTCCAAACCATGTATAACTGAACTCTGAAAATCGTTTGTTCGTTATCAATGGTTTATTTTTGTATACAGAAATAAATTAAATTCCTCTCAATATCTCACCTTCCTAACTTCTCACCTACAGTGGCCCACTCGTCATGCAAAGTATGACAATCTTTTTTGTTGTTATTTGGTTAAAAATATTCAACTATTTAAATAGTTAAATTTTCCAAACATTGGACAATTTTTGAACCACCTATTTATAGGCATTTCACAGACTCATTATAAGTTTTACTTATTGGACACAAAAAAAAAAAACAGTGAAGCATAATGTAATTTCTTATTTGATAGTCATTTAAGATAAAATTTACATAAAATAGGTAAATATTATGGCATTTTAAAACATGAATAACTAAAGTCAAAAATCTTATTTCTAATAATTATTTTCTTACCTTCCCAATTTTTTATTATTATTTTGAAAACTAAGCACAACTCATGAATAATTTAAGACCTAAAAAAATGTACTACCAGACATCCTGAGTTCTTACCAGACTTCTGACATCAATTATTGGATCTATATTTCTGGTATAAAAATTGCTCACAGACAGAAAATATACATCATATTAAAATCAATAAACAATGCTAAAAATCTAACAATTACATATTATGTACAATAGAAACATTTTTAAAATAAATTAATTCTTTAGAATGTACCCTCTTTTAATAAATTACTAACAAAACAAATACAACTTAATTCTTTATAAACCATTAACCAAACAGAGATCAGCTTAATGTTATTATTAGTATTTTTAACTTGACAATTTTAACATCAAAATAACCGTTTTTGTACAATATAAGCAACAACACATAAAAAAAATGCAAAAGCAAACATAATAATTATTTTATCAGTTGTTTCTCGTTGTCCATATTTATTTAATAGTTTTCCAGATTGGGTTAATGCACCTTTAGCATTTTTTATCTCATTATTTATGTTAGACACTGTTGAGGACGATTTTACTGTAATAATAATAAATTTAAATAATAACTATTTTAAAAATAATAAAATATATTATTATCTTACAAAGTGTTTCAAGAGTATCCAAACTTTGTTGAGACGTGCTTGCTAATTGTCTACTAACTGATAAAAGTTGATTAGTGACAGTTGACGATTGTTTTAATAAATTTTCTTTATCCATTTTCAGCCTTAAAAAAAATCATAAATAATATGCATTTTAATATAAACTAGTGAAATGATAATACAAATTATTACACATACATTACACACACTAATCGACAATTACCCAACAACAAAAATTACATTAGTCAGTAGTATTTTCCATAGCTGTAATTTATACACTTTTATATAACATTTTAACATACTAATTAAACAACTTTAAAAATACATATGACTACCAAGTTTTTATTTTTGAATGTTGCTAAAGTGAAGTTTAAAAAAGTTGCTGAACACTGGTTTCAATGATGTATGAAAACCTTTCATTCCAAAGTTGTTATATGATTGTTCTCCAAATTGTCTTAATTAAAAAATTTAAATGTAGTAAGGTCACTTTGCTGACATTTCAATAAAATCTAGTTTACAACATCAACTAGGTTAAAATCAGTCTAAATCCCATAAATTATTAAAATTGAATTAGTTAAAAAAAATAAAAAAGGTCACAGTACCTATGAACAGTGAAAATGTAATAAGTAAATTATTATTCATTGAGTCACAAACTATGGAAAGCTGTATAATGATAAATCTTGATAGTCTCTAACAAATTCATGTTATCAATCATCCTTCCTCACATAAACCTAAGCATTAAATCATAAATAAGTAAGCTTAGTCTTTAAAATATTCTTAAAAGTTAAATTTTATTTTAGATTTGGAGTGGAATGAAGGTTATGGTTTTACAAAGATGTTTCTTTTTTTTTTTTGTGAACAACTTTTCCACCAAAAATTTTGTTCCGATTTACAAGTGTAGTACATTTTCTAAAAGTAATTGTGACTGAGGAGGTACTTTAAATGGATTATTTTTCGATTTTCTTGGGAGTTTTCGGAAATCGGAAAAACCATAAAAATAGGTACAATATTAAAAAAATATTATTAAAGAAAATATATAATGCCTATGTTATTATTTTACTATAATACATATTGTTGATAAAGTAACACTATCAACTGAACTTAACTCAAAATCGTTTTTTCGTTGGCAATGGTTTATTGTTGCTAACAGGTATACATTAAATTTCCCCTCTACTACTTTACCAACTTATCACCTATAACAGTGACCCACCCACAAGCGAAATTGCCTGGCTTTTTTAAATATTTATTTTAAAGAAGAGGATGCAAAGAAAATTGTTTTTATAATTCTATTATTACAGATATTAATAACGAGACAAACATGATAATCATACTTGTTTGTATAGGTACTAATAAATACTACTTACTTATGCCGTACTTGTTCTTCATTACTTATACCTAACAATTGTTCACTAGATTTTTTATGAATTCTTGCCATACATTCCACATTGGCTTTTCTGAATGAAGCAATATTACTAGATGGTAGTTACAACAAATATCATTATTTAATCAATATAAACCAATATTTTGAAAAACAAGTATAATATTATCTCTATTTACAAACACTTCAATAATTAAAATATAATTCATTTTTTTTTTCAAATTGACATTCAAAATAAAAAAGTGTTGTATTTAAGGTCTATTGAATAAACCAAATTAAGTATTAATACTTTAATTAAATTCTGATTTTAATATATTTTATTTAAAGGTTGTCTTCATCATCAGGCGATCAATTAGGTAATGAGAAACCAGATGCTTGTTCATATTTTAGAGTTTAGAAGACCAGGTACCACCCTGGTATAACAGGGTTAAGTATGCCGAGCTAAGATTTCGGAAATAAAATATAAATATAATAACATGAAACGTTTAACAAATACTATTAAGGACATTCCTCCATACCATACTTATAATTACAATGAAACTAACTTAACAGGTGACCCTGGTGTTAAACAGGTGCTTATTAAAAGGAGCATATAATTTATAATTCCAGTTAAAGTGGCACATCTCTTATATGGTAATGCTGAAGCTAATTCAAACTTATATAGTTTACAAAACATGTAGGACTGAAGGTGGGCCTCCAAAAATCAGGTACAATAAACAAAAAGTGGGTGCTTGGACTATGTCACTTTTGAAAACTGTTTTAAAAATATATATTTGAAAGTATATATAATAAATATATAAATTATATATTAATGAAAAGGTTTTACATTTATGTAAAGAAAATGATAGTTTTTCTGCTTGCTACCAAAAACACACCTCACACAACACAAATGCACTGGCAAGATATATTAATAAATTATTAATATGTTTATGTATAAGACGCACTTGGAAAATAACTAAAACTGGTTCAAATTTCTCAACTATTCCTACAGATTTTTTTCTAAGGTTAATTAAAAAGTTTTTGTAGAAGTTAAAAGTGAGTGGAACATTCAAAATTTGAGTTTAAAAAATGTGGGGTTTAACTTATAGACAATATGATGATTTTAAACAGGTTAGCAACAAATTAACAGTTTGATAAAAATTTAGTTGGTGGTGCTTTTCTGGAAATCATCCAAAAGGAAAGAGATTTTATTAATGAAGCGGGTAAAAGGAAGAGAAAACTACAAGTGGTACCTGTCAAAAGTATTTCATTGTAAGGTCTTGGAAATTGCACAACCCACTTGTGGACCATACCGGGTAAATCCAATAATCAGTAGCAAATAGAAACTCCTTAGGTTTTTGGTTTCCGCCAGTGATTCAGATGAGAAAGCTGTATCTCTTGTGTCAACTGAAAAAAGTTTAGATATAGATGACCCAGAGATTATATCTTAAGTTTTTTTTTTATTATTTGATAGAAAAAACTATTAAACCCGAAAATTATGATATAATAAAAAGAAAACTTATAATAATAATAATAAAAATAAAAATAATAATAGAAAGAACGAATAAATGACAATTTAGTTTAAAATACAATATAATACTCAAATAAGAAAACTAGCCTCCAGGACAAAGGAAGTGATGAGTTCGACGACAGACAGGGAATTGGAATTTAGAATAGCTGAAAGGTGAGGAGGAGGAGTTAAGAAAATAAAAGGATAAGTCGTTTAGCCAATATAGAGGGACAGTCAAAGTGTATGTGAGATAGACCACAGATACTTTTCTCCATATGGAGTGTGCACATAAAATAATTAAAATTAAGTTAGTAAGCATAAAAAGGAAGAAGATGGTGACTAATGTGTAAGCAGTTAAAATGAACAATAGAAGATCTGGGTAGATCAAGTTTATGTTACCAAACACCGTTGAGAATATTGGTAACAATATTTGAAGTTAAAAATGTAAAGTTTCACTTATGGACCAAATATTCCACAAAGCAACAAAATTTTGGCCCAAAATGTTAACAAAAAAAGGGCAATTTTCTTTTAAAATTTCAGATTCTATAAAATGTATCTACAGATCATCACATTTATGATGAACTAAATTATTTTTGATTTTGTTCATTTTAACCAGGTCGAACTTAGCACAAGTTTAGAACTCTTCAAAATTGGGCCATACATAACTCATTCTACGGTAGGTACTTTTTAAAACTAATCATTTATTTTTTTAACATAAGTAATTATAATGATAGAATCATACATAACTGAGTGCTAGGTGCCCTATAGTGTGACTGGGTGTCTGGTTCCTCATTATCTACATAAGCACCCGGTGAAGGAGACAGAGCATTATTTATACATACCTATTTAAAATAGGAAAAACTATAAACCAACTTATAGGTTTAACTTAGAGAGAAATATTTAAAATAGGTAGGAAATAATGTTAATATTAAAGTTTAATTATCACCTTGTTAAATATTCTCTCTGATTACGGGCTTCTTCAATAACTTCTGATCTTTCTTGTTGACTTTCGATTTCTCGTCCATATAATTCTAAGTTTTCTATTAAATTTCGAAATATATTAATTTGTTTTCGACCATCGGCATTTAATTGTGTCAAAGTTTCTATAGGTCCTTCACATGAATATATATCCTATATTATGAATAAAGTGAATTCATACATAACTGCATAATTATATAATATTATAATATTGTTTTACTTGTATTATAGATTTCAATGTTATATTTGTATTAACAATGCATTCTCTGACAGTACTTAATTCTCGAATCATTTTGAAAAATTAATAAGTAATTTAAATAGCCGTAACATTGACAAATCACAAAATTTCAAATAACAATATCAAAAATATTATAAATGTATTACCACAGAATGTTCTGATATTCCTATCAACTGACAACTCGCTATAGATTTCAAAACTTTATTATTGTACGGTATAGATAATAACTTTTATCTATGTTGTATGATAACACATTTTATCATAATAGCACAGAATAAAACATATGGTTTATATTATATTTTGATAGGAATATGGAAATAAAATAAATAAATAATAAGTTAATGAATGACAAGGTTTTAACTTTTATTTATTATTTAAGCAGAGCAAAACGAATACTTACAATTATTTATTTACCGACTAAAAATAACTCATGCACGGCTTTGTGCATACACAAAACATAAAAATGATAATGAAATTACTTTTGTTAATTTCCCGAAAATGAATTTTTTTTTACGCAAAATAATAACCAATGCACCAATAAAAAAAAGCAACACATTTTCTTATTAACTCACTTACATAAGAAAAAAAAAATATATAAGTATTAATATTAAAACTATTATTATTGATTTTATTGTTGATGTTCAAACTAAAATTCATGTGAGAAATTAATAGGGAATATTGTGAAAATATTTGTAAAACTAATGGAACAAAAAAAAAAAAAATAATAATAATAATAATATGAGGAAAAAGCTTAAAGCAACATTATTTTTGTAACTAACGAGGAACATTAACACACAAAAAAAATAGATATATACCTATAATATAAAATAAAAAATATTATATGTATACATGTACATTTTGTAAAACACAAAGACTAGTTATCTAGTTGTATTAACTTACAGCTAAAGTAAAATGCTAAACAAATTAACTTTTGTACATTTATCATAATGATATTTTCACAAATTAATAGTTCTATTTTAAAATATAATTATTTTATTATACTTTAAGAATATTAAGATAACATAAAAGTAATAGAATTTCTTTTACTGTTGAGTGAACTGTAAGTGGTGTTCAGTTGAGGTAACTGAAATATTTTTCAGAGATCATTTTCATATTCTTCTTTACTAATATTATTTAAATTATTTTCAACATTTACTATGCCAATGGCTAAATCATCACAATTTCGTTTGGTTACACTGTTTCCCGAGTTATACATTGATACATTATTATCAATTTCAGAAAAATTTCTTTTTTTTGTCATTAATTTGCGTATTACTCTTTCATCTTCAGCAGTTCTCTCCCGGCGAAATGGGAAAACCATTGGATAAATTTGCTCGATTGCTTGATAAACATTTGCTACACTTGGTGCAGTTACTGTTATACTACCTGTAGAAAATATTTTCAATGTAGCTTTTAATTCTTTGATCTTAAAAGTAACACCAGGATGTAACTCGGGTTCATACTGAGCAATTGTTTTATATTTTTCCGAAAACTGTATGACTTTGATCGGAAATGGCAGTGAACATGATCCAAGAACATTGACAATCCTATAACTGCTAAATTTAGCATTGTGATAACCAAGTTTTTGAATGATTCTAGCTATACGCCTGGAAGCAATTTTAGCGCGACTTTCAGATGTAGAACCTGTGCAAGCAATTTTTCCACTTGACCAAATAGTAGCAGTAGCATTTGGGTTCCGTAATTTCATTGTGAGCATTCCATTTTCACGTCTGTATTCTATATTGTTACCGTTCAGAGCTAAAAACCGTAGGTTTAAGTGCGATTTTACGCTGAAGTTTGTTACTACATTACTAATAGAAATATTTAGATTACGGTTATCAGTCAAACAGTTTTGAACTGGAGTAGTTGAAAGAGCATTGTCATTAGACTGCCCATGAAACTCAGACTTGTAGAAGATCATATTGGAATTAGAATTCAATGTTGATGAAGAAATTGAGTTATTTAAGTCTGTTCCGTTTTTTTGATGAAATATAGAGGTCATCCTTGGAATCTCCTGGGTAATTAAATAATTAAGTATTAATTGATTATAATTTTTCTCACATCAATTGGTAGTAGAACAACACTCACGACCAAGTGTTAAGTGTAATATTCTTTAGACGATCGGCATCAACTATTGGCATTAAAGATGGTAAGTTTTTAAATAGATGATTTAATTGAATATTTTTGGTATTAGTTTCACTTCCTGTAGTTTTAATATACAAATTTTGTTGATATTTAACTAACCAAGAATCAATTGATGGAATTGCATTAATTTTTTCCACTTGTTTACAATTATTTTTTTCGTTTTCTGAAACATTAAAATGTTTAATAGCTATTAGATCAAAGCAATTATTATTTGTTTAGTATAAACTTATATGAAAAAAATACATTAAATGACAGTAAATTTTAATACAGTATAGAAAACAAAAAATAAGCCACCAAATCAATCCCTGATGGGTGAACAATGAGGGAGACCCCCCCAAGAGAAGTGAACTTACATTAGCATTTGACATAGTCATTGGTTCAGATGTAATAGATATATAATCAATATATTATTTGACATATTAAGGAAATATTGTATAGATGGTACTTAAGGAGATTATTTTTTGATTTTCCAAGAGGTTTTTTTTAATATATGGGAAAATCAGGAAGAAATCGTAAGAAAAACGAAAAATTTTACAAAAATAATGCTTTTATTAATTATTTTTAATTGTGTTATTTGTATGGTAATTCAGTAAAAATATTTGTATATACTTGAAATTTGGGTAGAAAACTTATATTTGATTTTTTACGTGGCAAAACTGTAAAAACATTTGAGTTATATTTAAGTTATTTTTATTTGGTAGATTTTCTGTGGATAAAATTGTCAGACAAAACAGACAAATTGAAAATTAAACAGAAGGTTTACTATAAATCTTACTTTGTGTTCAAAGCAAATAAATTTAATTTAGTGTAGTATATTTTTTTCATAAGAATTTTAATATCAAATTTTGACAAATATTGTTTTAGTAAAATATTATGTGGAACAAATTTAGTTACTGGTCTACATAAATAGTTTTAATCTAATATTTATTATAATATAATATGATATATATATTGTTGAAAAAGCAATACTATTAACCGAGCGCCTCTCAAAATCGGTTTGTTAACAATGATTAATTTTTGCTTACAGATATACATTAAATTTCCCTCTATATACTACTTTCTTAACTTCTTATCTACAACAGTGGTCCACCCACTGTATAAAGTATGTCAGTCTTTTTCTTACCAATCATTAATAGTAAATTTAATTATTTCGCCTCCTCATAGCCGAGGTCTGGAGACACCTCTGCACAAAGCTCTCATTTTTCTCAAATTGAATACACAAAAAATATTCTACTTAAATGTACTTATTTTAATTAACAACTAAGTATATAATATAATTTATTATTTAGTCGTGTGAACATAGTATGTCATTTCTTTGAATTGCATATAAAGTACCTTATTTTAAAAGTATTTAATAGTACTTTCAGGTCTCTAAGAATATTTTAAACTGAATTACAACAAAAAAATAAAAGCATTATTTTTGTAAATTGTCCTGTTATTTCTAAGTTTGTTTTTGGTTTGGCTCAATTAAAAAATCTAAATAGAAAATCAAAAAAAGACTTTATTAATAACCAACTAATTTAAAAATTGATCTTGAGTCATTTTTTTTGTATTGGAGTAATATTTTTAATAGAAACATAATGCATACAAATTTAAAATAATGAAATCATAACTTTTTAAATTTATTAATTTTCATTTTTCATCTTTTGTTTTTGGTTATTCTTAATTACTATGAAAATCCCATGGAAAATCAAAAATTGACCACCCCTAAATACCCGGATAAAATTCAGAAAAGATATTGAAAATCGGAACAAGATTTCTGGTAGAAAAGTTGTTCACAGATACTGATGAAAAAAAATATATATATTATTGTAAAACCAATATATCCTTGCTTCGCTTAGAATCTAAAAAAAGAAATATGAAATAAACATATAAAACATAAATAAATATTTTTTTTTTTAAGTAATTCAAAATTTGATTATATATAAGGGAGTTGTTTATCTACACTAATTCAGTCAACCACAAAATCCTAAATTAATAAATAATTTAAAAACTGATGCTTATCAAAATCTATAAATATACTAAAAGGATTATAGTGAATTAATTAAACCATTTGACATTTTTATTATATTTCACTATAGGAATTTCTTTTTTTTTTTAATCGAAAAAAAATTTTTTATTTAAACTTAAGTTATGGCTACATCCTGGAAATTTTTTTTTGATAGAAAACAAATTGTCTAATGCCTATTCAATTAGTTTAAATTTTGAAAACTAGATCAAAGTATATATTTTAGCACGACCTATCTTTCCTATAATAAATCCTTCTTTTGATTAGTCTATCAAACTGATATACTGTGTATTACCATTTAAGTAATAAATAAAGCACACATATAAAATACTACTAACATAAACAAATACATTAAAAGTTAGTAACAGGTTTTAATATAGTATGCAATCTATTGCCTTTTATATTCTGATAGCAAATCAACCCAAGGGTTCATTAGTTATCATTAGGGAACGAATTTGAATGTAACAAAAAAAAAAGTATCTATGTGTAAGTATGTATTTTATTAATTCTTTAAACAATGTGAAATAACATATTTTTTTAAATTTAAAAATGTAAAGTTGCGAGGTTGTTACTATTTGGTTGTAAAATGTTTTTGTACTGACTGAACGAGCGTTCTACATTAAGTAGTGTGAGTTTGATGTCCAAAGATTCTGTGGGATTTAGTCCTAGATGTATTTTCCTAATTAATAACTATTTTAATATTATTAAATCCAAGATTTTTTAGATATATATTTATATAACCCATTTTCCTATGTGACCTGATGCTTTTTCTAATTTATTTTATGCTTCTTCAACAAAACAATGCATAAACTTTTTGATAAAAGCATAATTCAGGTTTTCAGTTGTTCTATCATACATACCAAAAATAAAAATCTGCAACAATGTAAGTTAATTTTTTTTTTAAATTACCATGTACCGTCAAATATTAAATATCTTTATTAGTAGCAGTGAAAGTTTCAGTATTTAGATTTAAAATTATTTCCTTAATTTGTTCAAAATATTCACAACAATATTAAGCTAATTCTAACCATCTCAATATAATAGTCTGAAGGCAGATTGAGGTCTAGGTATAATTATTTAAATTTTAAAACTTGACTTGATACTTTATATTACAAAATACATACACTTCAATATTTACTTAACTGTTACTATTAATTGATCAATGTCAGGATAATATGATTGTATTGTTTTTGCCACCTGATGAAAACTATGTTGAATTATTGATACCGTTTTTTCAAAACATTTTTAGTATACAACTTTTCCATCAATTTGAAATGTTTCATTCAAAAATTTTTTTAAGTATGCAGTTACCTTATTGTTTAATAAACATGCAACTTTAGGTATTGTAAAAGATTATATGAAAAACTACACAAATTTTATGTACGAAAAAGAAAATAGCAGCTATAATACAAATAATTTCATGTTATCAGTATCTAGAGTCCAGAAATATACTGAAGAGTTACCTATTTACAGACAGCCAATATGATATAGCAGCATGCCGACATATATATCTAAAATTAAAGATTAGTAAAGTTAAGATAAAATTTAGTTATTTTAGGTTCTTATTACACACTTATCCAATAAACTTATAGTATTTAATAATGGCATATTGGTGAGTGAATGCTATATAGATAGATAAAGCAAATAACTTTTAAAGTCATCAAAATCGGAATAAAACAAAAATTACTAAAATATTTACAAAATATGTATTTAATCCTTAATATGTGAAACCATGTAGTTATTCTCAAATGTGTAAAGTAAATATAGACTTAATTCTATCAGAATGGTCTAAAACTAAAGGTTCACATTCATGTCAAGTAAAAAATATTTCATTCTAATAAAAATATGTATTTACTATAAAATCTGTTCCCTAGTTATCATTCATCAATGGCTAATCAACTTAGTTAATTGATGGACTACAATGATTTTTAGAAGGTTATTGTGTTGTAAATCAATCAATTTTTAGAGTGAACATTTAACAAATTAGAAATCAAGTTAGAAACCATTGAAGTTAAACATATTTAAACAGATTTGTGATATCATGCCTACAATTGAATAGCTGGAAAAGCTGAATATAGGTGAAAAAATATAAATACAAATACCGATGAGTTTAAATTTTCATCAAAAGCTTAAAAATGTGATTTAGTAATAATATTTAAAATACATTAATTTATAAAAATAATTATTACATTTTTAAATATTAAAGTCGAGGTTAATTTAATACAAAATATTTATTATTACCTATACAAATCTATTAATTTTATTTAAATTTAAGCGATTACAATGCCATCCATACCAGTAGTTCTCAAAAGGCCATATAGTGACAGTATGGAAAATGAATATATGAATATTAAGTTTACTAATGTTTTTTTAAACAAACTAACGTTTTTAACAAATAAAATATAATTTTATATTTTGTTTAACAATTAAAAAATACTTTAAAAATAATTATATTATAGTATTTTACCGCCTTATTATTATTAAATAAATGTATTGAAAAGTCGAATAGTTCTATTTTTAGTCATTATTGGTACATTCAAAACTATAATACAGAAGTAGTATGTAAAAAAAGTTTAAAAACCTCTAGTTTATACCATAACCTAATATTTAATGTGTTGATAATAATTATTTGTTAAATTAATATTTATATACATTATAGATACAAAATACATAAATACATTTTATGTAGAATAAAACTTTAATATGTAAGCATTCAAGAAAACATTTTATCATAAAAGCTAAGGCTATAGGCTTTAATGTATACCATTATACCAACTAAATGTGTAAACAATATTCAATTTGCATTATATAATTTAGATTCCGAGCGTAGCGAAGGAGCTATTGGTTTTAAAATGCTGTATTGTTTTTTTTCTTCATTGTTCTAGTCTATGGGCACGTTTTTTTAAGTAAACTTGCTCTGATTTTTACGTGTAGCAACTTTTCTGAAAACCAAATTGTACTGTAAACAGAAAATTTTTGATTTTCGACGCCATATTTTAAATAGAAGCACTTAAGTAGGAATAACGTAGGAAAACATACAATATCACGGTTTCATTATTTTATAAAAATACGGACGGAATTTACTACCAGAAAAAATGATTAAATTGAAAAATTACTAGGTACCTTATTTGTTGTTTCATTAATTTAAGTTCTTGCGGTATTATCGCTAAATCATTTGAGCCACTTTTGAGCTTTTGAGGAATTTTAATTTTTGGTTGTTTTTTGCCATAATTCGGTTATACATACATGTAGAGACACTGAAACTTGTTAATAATACTTAGACATGGTAAAATTTCCAAAATTATCAGAAGACTTTTTTTTTTTTCAATAAAAGTTTTGAAATCAAATTTAAATGAAAATTGCAAAAAAAATTACAGCATTTCAAATTATGTATTACCAAACTGCGCTCGGAATCATCTTTTGTCAAGCAATGGTTTATCGTTGCTTACAGATATAAATGAAATAACCTTATGTATCCTACCTTCCCAAATTCTCACCTACAAACTGGCTGTTCCCATCCTCAGTATTAGCTCTTTTTTTATAATTTAAAATTAAAATAATAATTATATACATCCACATTAGTTTTCAATTAGAATAGTTTTATAAAAATGAAAAAAATAAAAATAAAAATTATTAACCATTACTCATGGAATATAACCAACATCATTAACATGGATAATAGTTAAGAACAATGATTAAAATATGTTAATAACATATTTGATTGTACAAAAACAAATGAAAGTTCAAAATAAAATGGTAGATATTTATTGTGTACATGTATATAAATATGTTATACAAAATTAGATAGAATTCATTAATATACTTATCTACAATTAAATGTAATGTATTAAAAATGTATAGACAGTATGACATTAAATTCAATAATAAATTAATACTAGATTTTATATTATGGTGATGATAAAATTTTTGAATGGTAATTATTAATTTTATTTAATATTGATTATTGATAAAACACAACCTTTGTAAATCATATATAATTTAAAATTTAATAATCCGACATAATTATATTACTTATGAAAAACAAAAACTTAATAATAAATACTTAGGAGGTGCTATAATATTAAACATATTTTTGGTATAAGCCTAAGAAAAACCAAAGAAAAAGTGGCTAGAGGTTATTAGAGAAGATATGAGAGCATGTGGAGTTGATTAAAAATGGTGATTTCTGATGGTGATGGGTAGGGTGATGTGGAAGGTGAAATTAGAGTAGATGTATAAAAAAAGATGGATAATTAATATTTAATAAATGGATGTTAATAAAGCGCTGTTATAAGTATCATAATTTTTATTTAACTTGTATACTATACGAGGACCTTATCATATTATTTATTATGATGAAAAAAAATTACAAGGATAATTATTGACAAAATATTTAAAATTTAATATGTAGCTAGTATATTATATTTAAATAATTAGTAAAATTATATAAAAAGTTATATTAAAATGAGTAAACATACCCGTATTCACATACCTACAGTGATATACAACAAATATTTTTTTTAAATTTAAAATTTAAAAACTAAATATTTTTAACATTATATATTGGTTCATTGCATATTGCCTACTTCGATACATTTATACAGTATAGATGCATGTACGCATATATTGAAAATAGGCTTAGGTAATTTATTGTATCTAATTGTTATTTGCAGAACCATGCGCTATCACAATAAATATAAAATCAATAAATTAAGGAAAATCTAAAATAAATATTACCTTGGTTGATTAGATGAATCAATTGTTCAAAGGTGTAATGAGAAAAATTACAACTGGAACCGTACTGGCACTGTCCAGTAGTCCTAAATCGTCGACAAGGTTGCTTTTGCCGTTCCTCAAGAAATAATGTTACAGCGTCTATAATAATACTTGAACTCTTACAATGTCTGCATTCATGAATTTTTGTTTATGTTTTATATACCTTTATACAATGAATAGTAATTGCTTCTGTTCTTGTGATGAGCGTTGCTGTTTAGATGAAGTTTTCTACTTGATAAATTGTCTGCAAATGTTATATTACAGTATTCGCACAATATTTTCTTCACCATTTTCAACCGTATCTCAAAAATCCAGGTATCCTAAATTCATAAAACATTTTAAAGATTTTCAGAAAAATGTGCACATAAAATTGTAACAATAAGTGTCCTGGTTTTTTTTTTATTTTAAACTTCTAGAAAAAATATATATATTATCAGCCAGACATTAAATCAAGACACAAAATAATGAGATAACAACAGTGTGTGCACGTGAGACAACTCAAATTTCATTGTGAAATGTATAGAAAAATCATTACTTACATGTTCTTTGGATTAGTTTAAAATATCGCTCATTTTAAATATTTTGAACGACATTTGAAATACGTATTCGAATTGTTTGGATTACTTTTCAATAATCGAAAAATGAAATTCTCAAGATCAGCCTATCGATTAATTTAACACTGAATGAATAGACACATAATCTAGACAGGGTAGATATATGTTTTCGTTGACGAGAAACAAATACGAATTTATATGTTGAATTTACGATCGTTAAAGACATACTGATTTACTGATTTCTGGCTATATATAAAGTTATACTCGTCTGATAGTGATGCAACCAAAAATACTGTAAATTCTGCATTATATATCGACCTACACGCTACACAACTTAAATAATACTAGTATTAGTTTAAAGATTAAAGTTTTTTTTTGTATTTGTAAATAAATACCTAGAGACCTTTTTTTGTGGCATTTTGTACCTAATTGGTGAGTGAGATGATCGTGTTTTGATTTTCCAAACCAGTTTTCATAATAATTAATAAAATTCGTCAGAAGACCTTAAATAAAAACGGACAAATTTACAGCATTATTAACAATTTCAAATAATAAAATTGTTTCAAATTTTCTTTTCTACAAGAAGTATTGATTCGTATTTCAAGAATAGCAACTTTTCTGAAATACGCATAGAAGTTGTCGAAAAAGTCGATTTTTTGATTATCTGTGTAGTTATGTTAACAATTAGACAAATCCAAGAAAAATGTAGGAAATCTGGTGAATTTATGGAAATAATTACTAATAATCATAGGTAATGTGTTAATACCATAGGGTATACAATGGGTATATACTATAGGTACTCAATGATTATAACATTTGTTTCCTATGTAACTAATGGGAACCAGAAATAAAAAAAAATTAACAGCCAAGGTGTTTGATGTATCAATGACAAACGATAATTTATCGGGTATTGCTGTGTACAGCCCCGTCGTAAGATATCACCCGCCCTAAAGCGGACATTTTGACGCCGGTCTCTTTTGACGATTATTAATTTCATTTTACCGTTTCAATTTGATTAAAAATGTACGCCGCCCCGAAGTCTAAATGCCTGGCTTGCTTGTATCCTAGCGGCTGCCCTCGCCTAATTTAAGTGGTGGGCATACCGCCTAACATTGGTAGTTTAGTGCAGAACATTGTACGTTTTACAATTCGTACAAGGAGAAACAAACATAATTATTAATTGTACAAATAATATTACAAATAACCCGGACTGCGGACAATTCCTAGACCGCGGTAGCGTTTACTGCGTGATTGCATCAGTAACAGCCGATAACAATTTAATCATAACCACAACCGTATAATGAGCGGCTGTACAATAAATAACCAATAGTGCGTAATAAACTTCTAAATCCGCAACAACAACGGCTGCGCTCCCCGCGATTTGGGTGTTTTAAACCGTGCAAAGGTGATGGATTGGTGTAGATTACTGTTACTGTTGGTAAATGTGTGGTCAATAAACTGTACAAACAATCAGTTCGGCGCCGCGTATCTATGAAAATCTATTTATAGGTACCCGAATAATTCGTTCATATTCTGCGGACTCGTGTCACAAACTCCGGGCGAACGCGTCGTTTAGGTCACGCAAAATGCACTGCATGGCGCACCCATGTTGCGTTTACGCGGTTCACTTCTACGCGAGTTTTGACGAATGATCCTCGTCCAAATAAAACCATTTCAGACCGTTCGCGTACGCGTTTTTGTACAAATTTAAATAAAAACCAACGGGAATATTTTTTTAAAATTTTTTGTTCTCAAAAAACAACACGTTCTGCGCACGAATACAGGCACCCGGGGGATTCACCGAGAACGTAGGCGAAAATGGCGTTCACACGGAACGAACCCGTACTCGGTTTAAAAGATAATAATTGTCACCAAGAAACATAATTTCTTAACGTGTCTATGGTCGTGACCGGTGCCACCTGACGAGGATGCGCGCCGCCGCACGAAAACTGGCCGCAAAAGCGGTACGTTCTCTTTTGACACGGGGTATGCATTTACATCATTTATCCGTGTGTACTGAAGAGCCTACAATCGTATGCACGGTTTAAAATCATAGGCACATTAATAAATGTTTACATAAATATATAAATAAATATTTATATTAATATGTCTATGTTTCAGATACCTTGAATCGTGATCGTACGTATCTAATTGTATTTGATTACTTTATGTTCTATACATAGGGTGCTTACACATATATAATAAACTTGTATCACAAAATGCTAGAAGATTTTAGGATGTTCAACGCCACCTCGGTTCATATAAAACGCCACCATTTTTCGGATTTGGGTCTTATCATTGTCCAGTGATTGTCCGACCTTATCATCTGTTCATAACCGTGTGTACCACATTTTTTTCCCATTAGTTTGATAGAACGATGATTAAAAATGTACCTTTATATATCTTTATCACAATATCTTTAATCGTGGTTGATAGTACATGTTGTTATCATCAATTTTACATTATCATGAATTCGTGAATGTAAATATTATTGATTGACAATTATTAGGGACTATTCAATTTTAACTGTTTTACTATTTTAGTATTTAGTATATTTTAACCTTCGACATAATATTATTAAAACGTAAAAAATAAGTGTAGAGTTTACAGTTTTACTCGTACTATATAATAATAATATTTTATTTTAGATATTGAATTATTACTTATTTATTGTAATACATTTTAATAAAATAAATATACATTTTTTTTAAGTATTTTATATTAAAGTCATGAACCCTAGATCGTAATGCTCGACGTTTTTGACAAATTTAAAAATGACACAATATTTATTTGTGTTAATTATTCTGGCGTTAACTCATGTGTATGGATATTGTTCTCTTGGAGATAGTTTTCCTTCCTATAGAAATTGTGTTTTAGAATGTACAGAAAAACGTTGTGACAAAGGTTATGCATTTAAAATAAAATTGTAAACACAATACAATAATCATTTTAATGAATTTCTGATGATTATTTATTTAGATGGTGTAAGGTATAAGAGAAGTTGCTGTATTGCGGTTTTAGATGTTTTCAAATGGAAATGTTCAGAAAACTGTAAATATGATTGCATGTGGCCAATGGTCGAAGGTTTAGTGGAACGTAACTGGCCAGTTCCACAGTTTCATGGAAAGGTCGTATAATATTACTTTACATAGCATTTTAATTTGAAATATTGAATTATTATTATTTTATAGTGGCCATTTAAGAGACTACTTGGTTTACAAGAACCTGCTTCTGTCGCATTTTCATTATTAAATCTATTAACAAATGTAGTGATGTTTAACCGGTTTAAAGAACAAATACGTTTTACATTGCCATCGTGTAACATTTGGTTCTTATATACATTGGTAAATCACATTGTATTTATTATAATATAACTCATACATTTTGATTATTTGAACAAAAAATACTACTACTAGTACTACTACTACTTCTACTACTTTAACTACTGAAGTACCATGAAAAAATATATTCCCAAAAACATGAGATATAACATCTTACTTTAACTATTTAATGCAAATTTAACTATTAATTTATAACAAAAAATTGTTTTACTATATAATATTTTTTCTAGAAAACTAGTTCTTATCAATCGTAATGGCCAATTATAAAAGTGAGACTAGTTATGATTATGTCACAATATTATTACTGTAATAAGCATATTTTATTTATTACTTATATAATTAAATGACCATTAAAATATTTTCTAATTTTAGATCGTAATAAGTGCATGCCAATATAAATTTAATTTCACCAAATCTACAGTAAGTTATATTGTTCCTAAACCATTATTTTAATCTTATTCAAATATTGTTTAAATATACCTCACAATGTTATTTTTAATTTTTGTATACCACTACATATTATCTATTATGTATTAGGCGATTCAAAAAAGTTAAACAAAATAACAGGAGCACACGCAACATTTAAATTTTAAATGCACTGTGCTTAAAATTTTATATTAAATAAAATTGATACGTTTTATAAAAATAATAATGTTTAAAGTTTAAGTATTGTTCATATTACATTTCATAACTGTTTTATAATTGATGTATACTCAATTAAAAATTGATTTCAGGTCTCAGCCAATTGTTGGATTTGGTCAGCTGTATTTCATGGCCGGGATACTATGTTTACTGAATTGATGGACTATATTAGTGCATATGCTATGGTTTTATTTGCATTTTATACAATAGGCCATCGAATTTTATTATACAGTAATACAATCGTGAAGAATACGTTTATGGTGATTTGTTCCCTTGCGTTCATTTATCATTCTTTATATCTTCTTACTACAGAATATGATTACAAGTACAATATGACTACAAATCTTCTCGTCGGTATGTAATAGAAATGAATTTTAAGTATTTTAAGTATTTAAATACATTACAAATTTAGGTGCTGTGACAGGCACTGCTATGTTAATATGGGCGGTGTTAAATCGTCGAAGGATGGGTCATGGTAAATATTTGATATTTTATGTGCTTGGCATGACTTTGGCTTCATTACTAGAGCTAGCAGATTTTCCTCCACTACTTTGGACATTTGATGCACATTCACTCTGGCATTTAGCAACTGCCCCAAATGCCTATTTCATGTACAAGTAAGGCAATATAAATTTTAGCGATTTAAAAAGTACACAATGAATAATATTATTTAGACGTAAATATTATAATGCTATATGATCTGTAGGTTTTATAAATTATTTCAAACTATTATACTTATTAAAAAAAAAACAACAGAATATAACTTTGTACTTAAATTGTGTGCCTTTAATTTTAAAAATGTATACACATGTGTTACTATGAATGTCCATAGTTGGTGAATGCTGATAGTCATCAGTTAATATTCAAGGATAACGGAAAATTTAAAATAATAGTATTCTAATAATACTATAATAGTAGACATACTACCTATTACGTATACAATATTTAGTAATGTATAAGTTGATGATTTGATCAAATATTTTATTACCTTGCTCAACTACTTTTATTATATCTGGATAACAGCCATGCTATGTTGCCTCTCTAAAATTTGGTATGATATTGTCATTCAATACAGTTATATATTTTATTGTATACAATTGATTTGCACAATAATTAAAACATTTTTTAAGTATTAAAATTATTATTATGAAAGTATTTCATAATAAATTCAATAATTCAGTATCTAATAAAACCATAATAACTATTTTTTTCTATTGATATAAAAATATAAATTTTTAATTAATTAAGTGAACATATTTTCTTTGTTACACAAAACAAAATTCTTAAATTTAAAATTATACAAATTCATCAATTGGGCGGGGGGGGTACGCTATATATGATGCAATTGCAAAACAAAGTGTACCACAAAAAGTGTGGTTGTAGAAATGTTGTCATTGTATGAAGTATAGAATTTTATGACAGTTTGTTATGTTGTAATAGTAGAACTATTACTCCAATTTTTTTATTTAAGATAACAATTTTTGTATAGTAAAATAGTTATAATTTAAATAATGATACAAATAAAATATTTTTTATAATAATAATTTACTGATACAGTTGAACATTACCTATTTTATAAACAGTGAAAACTCTTTTTAACAAAACCCTTTTTAACGAAAAACTATGTAACGTACAAATTACTTAGTAATGGTTGGTTTGCTTTACAACCTGTATTAGTTCTTTATTGCAAAAATTCTGTAAGTATAACAAAAGAAATCTCTCGGTCCCTTAAGATTCAATATAACGAGTTTTCACTGTATTGTCTGTAGTGTATACTAAAATATTTGCCAACATTACTAAAACCGTATTGTGTATGTCAACATTGATTAAAATCCTGATGTAAATGTCAACATTCACTAGTAAATGTCTATATTTTTTTAATTTAACATTCACCATTATATGAGGCATATTTTGATATTCAACTAGGTGATTGTCAGCATTCACCAATTGCGGACATTCCCTGTAACATTATAATGTATATATATACATATTAATATTTAGGTTACTGATTGAAACATTACGTGGTTCATATCTTAATTTTATTTGTTAGTATTTAGTTATTAATCATAAAGCTAATTTATATAACTATAAATTACTAAATACAAGTAACTACAGATTGTATATTATTTTTAAAGAAAATATATCCAATTGTCTTAGATTATTTTTATTGATCAATATACTCTTACTATTATTAACTTAATATTCTTAGTAGGTATTAATTATTCAGAAATCAAATTTGCTACCTTTAATAATATAATATAATAATTTGAAATCATGAATTTTACTGGTGGTAAAAATACCAGTGTTATTTCTATAAATAAACAAAAATGTATTTTAATTCTGCATAAACTTAATTTTCAGGTTTGCTATTGAAGATTGTAAACATCAACGTCGGATGCTGCTAAAATGACAGTTTCTTGCACTGGGGATACCTCAGATACAAGACGAATAAGACTTGAACAATTAATTTAGTTTTCCTGACTTTTATTTACATGACTTATTTAGTTTTTAATATTTTATTTTTAATTCCTAAATAGAGTTCATCGTGAGATATGAAAGAAGTATAGTGTAATAACTCTAATTAAAACTAGATAACTATTTTCTTATTGAAGTACTAGTATATTTTTATATTGACTACATCACAGGTTATTAAGAAGACATCACACTTGAGGGCCTAAGTTTGGATTTAACATATAAGATAAAATATGAAGTATATCTAGAAAATACAGTATGCAGAAGAGAAATTTAAGTTTCACAAGGTATAATTTTCCTATATTGTTCATTGAATAGACAGGGATAGCTTCCTATGAACCTTCAAAACTTGAAATATTTGTTAACTAGAAATATAATCATGATATGAAATTATTTTTACTATTGTTAAAAAAAAAATATTGCTTTTATGTATATTGAGTAATTAATAAATACATGATATAATTATATAAACTATGTCTAAAACTATTTATAGTTATATTTTTATGAGTCTCACTACAGTTACTCAGTTATTGTGATATAATGTGATCAATACATTAATAATTGATTACATATTTAAGTTTTCTTGTTCATTTCATTGCCAAATATTTTTTTTTAGTTTCATTACTTTTGTTTTTGTAAATTGTATGTATACTATTAAATTATTATTTTATTAATTTTTTTATCAATCATTTGTTATATGTTTGATGTTAAATAATTATTAGATTTCTGTTCATTTATTTATATTAAAATCTTAAGCCAAAGAGATTTACTCTACTACCTTCTACCTAGTCTATTTAGATTATTATTGTTACCTATATGTCAAAATATATTATTTGTAAAAATAAAAATATTTTATACTATGGAAAATGCTTTATTTTTATTCAACTTATAATGATAAATTATAAAGTATAATTATTATATATTGTTTAAGTTAAAAAATATAATCAGGATAATTTTAATTTTAATTTTAGTTTAAATTAGAATCCATTATTAAAATATTGAATTTTCTGATTTGAGTCAATCATTAATGTTATGTCTTAATTACTTAAAGATGGATAATTATTAAAAAGTATTAATAAACAGAGCTAGATATACTATATATCTTGGGTACACTTCTGTTTTGAAATTATAAAATTGTAAAACTAACCAAATATAAAAAACATTGCAATTAAAATCAAAAATATTTGGAATCTACTTACTTAATTAATATATTATATTAATCAAACAGGGTTTTTTAGTTTTATTTTATCAATGGAAAATATTGCAATGTGACCCTATCTCAATAATATGGTATGAATTTAGATGATGAAATTTGCTAAAAATTATTATTAAACTTATCTGTGTTGGTTTTTGGTTCTGTAGAATTAAAAATTCACAATTTGTTAAGTTTTTCATGATATTATATTAAACTGAGAAATTAAAAATTATTATTCCAGCCACATTTATTGAAGCAACTACTTAGAGTATCACAGTACCCATAAACAATTGCTGTATTAAACTTTACGAGCATATTTACCTTTCTTAAAAGAGTTATGAACAAAAACCGCTGTATATTGTAAAACTAATATTCTCTTCGTTTCTTTATAATTTAAAACAAGTATTATTTTTTAATATAATTAAATAATACAAATTTTATACAAAGATAAATATTATTAAATATAACTTATTAGATAACTATTTTAATTAAAAACCATTTTTGATTTGTTTACTAAAGTCTACAATAAATAGGTAAATGTAACCTATCTAGTCAATACCACAAGTACAATTTATTTCCATTTTTGATTTATAGACGCAATGTGCAAACAGAACTCAAAATTAATTTAATTGGATCACCTGTATATTACATATAATAGGTATATAATAAATAGATATTTAAGCGAGATAAATTCAAATAACATTTAAAAAACACATATTTGTACACTAGATATTCAAAACACAGTTTCTCTTTGTTCATTGCTAAATTATTATTCAAAAATAAAACCATGGCTTCAATAACAATTAACACAAAATGGTAATATTATTATACCTAATTATTTTAATATTTTACTGCAGTCTACAATAGACAACTGAATAACTGTATAGCTGGTATGTAATGCATTTATGACTAAATACATAGGCACAAAAGTCAGATAGTAATTACATAATATATAAATCTTGGGATTCCTTCACACAAACTACAAACACAATTAACTTATTTATACTACAGAATGATTCACTAAGCGTACTTACCTTAAATTAAATTTCGCATGTATTCAAATTTTGACTTTTGGAAATTTTAAGTGCAGTTAAAGCCGATATTTTCGAATATCTATTATTAGATTTATCACGTTTAAGGAGTATATCTTGTGGTGATACCAAATTTAGTTTTTCAAATGAAAACCTGTATTAAAAATTTCATAAATAGATGAAGTAGGTATTACTCTAAATAAATTTTGGTGTTAACACATATGACGTCCGTCAACCCGTTGACCGGATATTTTACTTTTAAGTTTAAGAAAATTCTACTCAAAGATAATCTATAAAGATAAATTTTATTATTGTTCAATCGTATTTGGTGTAGGTATGGATACCTGTTGGACTCAGTTTATGAGTGTAATTTGTGTGCGTTATTCGCTCAATAAAATTTTAACTGTTAAACGTAAAATTGGTCAAGAAGGACGTATTTTTCATGAAAAATGGAACAATAAGTAAAAATGGTGTTTCGCCCGCGAATCTTTGACGTATAAATATATGGCCCGTTGGTAATTTGAGTTTGAGATCACCGAGGCGGAATTTTTAATATAGGTTTTGTAACGTCCAAAAACGACCATTTTCCGTTGTCAAAGGAAAAGCGTACCTACACAAACGATATAGTCAACCGGTTAATAGATTACGCCCGCGTCGACGGATAAGTTATATCATTAATTACCAATAATTCACTCCCCTCCCCCGCGCAAAGGCTTATGCGATCGCAATCCGTTGCAATTCACAATAATATTACATTCCTGATTACGGGTTAACGGCCAATCATATCACGTTTCTCCTTAACGCCAAAAACGTCGGCCCGCGACGACGTGTGCCACGAACGTCTCCGCGCTCCGCTACCCAGTTTTCTGTTCTTAGTTCGTTCGTTTACTTCTTCGCGTCTAGACTTCGTCGCCGGACGGTGTTCCGGTACAGTTATCTTAATAAAACGCTCCCGTGTATTGCACGGATTCACGTATTTTGCCATCAAGAAGAGGTCGTGTACCTTGGCACGTTTCATGATGGCGCCTCAAACGAACCAAAGAAGTGAGAACCGATCCGGCGGACATCTTCGGGCGGGACGAATGGTAATGTATATGCGATTTAATAATTGGCCGATACCCCGTTAGTTAGTTTTTAAGGTAGTTCAGTTAAGGTCCCCCCCCGTATAAATATTTTTATCTAAAATGTTTCTTTTTTCTCGTATGTTAAATCCTTCCGATATACTTATGGGAATCAACCAGCTAGATTTGTGTGTCCGTCTCATTAAACTAATACCCGCGTTCCACATCCTATGTGCGATAGGCTTAACCCCCCCCCGCATTTTGTTTTTTATTTTCTATTCCCTTTAAAGTACTAGGTTTCGCAACCACGTGTGTGAGCATCTATAAAAAGAATATATATATATATATAGATCGAACTTCTCCACTTCGCGATCCGTATTCGGAAGCACCTCGCAGGTTCACCCGTAGGGCCATCAAAACTACGGACCAGTCAACATAGAGTGAAAAGCGTTACCGCTACCCTTCCCGGTAGTAATTTGTGTGACCTGGTAACCGCACCGCACATTACTGCCGGGGTCCATCCAATACCTAAGGTGCCCACGAAAGTTCTGCGTGGGAGTCCGTCTCGGTCTATACCAATATCGGTCGGCACACACACGTGGATGTGGATTCGACATTATCTATAAATATTAATGAGTCCCGACCTGCACGCTACCCGTTCTGTCACTACCTGCGTCCGGACAACAGTTTTAAAACTGGTCGACGCCCCAGTTAATGTATATGTATTTAAAATATAAGTTGTTTGGATATATTTGTCTATAATTCTATATATATATATAGGAATATTGATATATTGATTATATCAATGTCAGAATCGTACCTATTATCCATTTTCTCTCAGGTGACAGTTTTTATGCCCCCGTGCTTTTCTGTTGCATTAGCTTAATTTCACTTTTTGATTGATAAATTTAATAAAATAATTCTATTTTTTCCCCAAAAGAAAACACGTATTTATTTACTTAAATTCTTCTTTTACCCTTCCCTTCTTACAAAAATCCTAGGACTCCGGTCTTCGGACCTCGGTCCTAGGTTGGCGACCTTGCTCCTCGGCGGTTAGTTAGGTGGGCGCTCGGGTCGTTTCTCTCAAACCAGGCCGACCGAACCGGGACGTCTCAGTTTTCATTTGAAAAACCAAATCTGGTATCATCACAAGATAATCCTTAAACGTGCGAAATCTAAGTGTTCGAAAATGTCGGCTTTAACTACACTTAGAAATTCCAAAAATCGGAATTTGAATAAATGCAAAATTTAACCAAAAAAATGAGATAAGCATGCTTAGTGAATCACCTTGTATTCCTAGTTATTATTTGTTTGCATAGGTATTTGACACTGCCAACACTTTACGTTGCGTTCAGCGATCTTAAGACCCAGATCAGTTGTGTATTTACGGTGTTTGCTTTAGAGTGAGCCTCTTTTAAATCTATGTAAGCCCCGGGAAACCTGTGTAATTTTATTGCACTACTTGGTAAACTACGTGGGCGCCACTGGCAATTAGTGATTCATATATTCTCTTACGAGGCTATAAACTTTGTTTCAACATTACGTTGTAAGATTACATATAACGCCAATTTTATTATATTACCATAATATAATATAATTGACACGTATATTGTTGAAAAAGCATCACTATCAACTGAATTTCACTCGGAATCATTTTTTCATTAGCGATGGTTTATCGTTGCTTACAGATATAAACGAAATAACTTTATGTACGTAGGTATTTTACCTTTCTAACATCCTGCCTGGCTCATCGAACAAAATGCGTAATAATATAGGTACCTAGCTAGGTAATTAAATGGTTAAATGGGGTGTGCTTATTTGCCTGTGCAGTTACATTGTGATGAAAATATCTAAAGAGGAAAACGTACTTTTGTCGTTTGCGGTGAAAAAAAATGTCACAATTACAAGATAATTTTAAACAATATATTGAATTAACATTAGTAGTAGCATGAAAAGAGCGGTTCTAGCCCAGGTTCAGGTGTAGGTGCAGGTGCAGGAGTAGGAGTAGGATTGGCCCGAATTGTCCACCTCTTCATCGGCTATATAGACCACGCCCCCTTTTTTCAAAATATTCTTTCCACATTATCGACTACTTAGACGAGCAATATTTTACCCCACCCCCTTTACAATATTTTCTACATGCACCACGTACTCGACCTATTTAGACCACGCTCCCCCTTTTTTTTCCCACACTGTTATCACCAAATACTACTATCGCCTTTCGCTACCCGCCGACCCTCTCTCTCCACATACACACACACACATATCTTCCCCCGTCTATAATATATATATATAGCCGATCCATCTGTGAGAACGAAAATAATGTATACATATATATATAATACATATCAACAGCAGCGCGCATTGTGTTTCTTGCCTGTAAGATCCTGTACGATCCTGTACGATCCTGTACGATCCTGCATGAGTTTGTCTCTTAGCCCCCCCCCCACCCCCACCAAATTTGTGTACCGTGTATAATACGCATGCACATACTGTATGTATTTTAATAAGTTATTTTTATTGTTTTTCCAAATAATATTTTTCATAGCATACCATTAGCAATCGTTATCAACGAG